GTAAATGATCAAATTCATATATATATATATATATTTTATTACCTTATATTTACAAAAACTCATTATATATATATATATATATTATATATATTATATATATATATATATATATATATATATATATATATATATAATATATATATATATATATATATATAATGAGTTTTTGTAAATATAAGGTAATAAAATAACTTCCGGGAGCAGCTAGAGCTAGTGTATTTTGGGAAATTTTTCCTACCCCTTGGTTTCGAGTGTGGTCCTGAAAAATGGGTGCATACGGGGTGTATACCTACACCTTCAAGCTAAAGAGAATTGGGACACCAGTACCGCTTCACGGGGTAACGTACAGTCCGTAGATAAAATTACATATTGATTTTAAAAAGGGGTCTGAGTCTCCTCTGCGTGGGTTTATAACCCTTGGTGCCACAAAGTCTGTGTCTATGTGACACCTCACTTATCTAGAGGTAAGCCAGAGATGGTTGCCCGAAACTTCGAAAGAAATTCCTGCCTCCCTTTCTCCTGAGAGAGACACACACACACACACACAAGGAATCCGACACTGAAATGGACTCAGAAATCCTAAAAATTCAATGTCAAAGTAAATGTTATGTGTTTGTAAACTTTGTATTTCATTTCTGACTTTCCTTCCATATATCTCTCTCGGTATGCCCTTTTCAAGACACTAGACCAGCTAAGAATGCCTGAATCATGTTTATGTACTTCTAACCTTGTCAATATACAGCTTAAAGTGACATTTAAAGGCTTAACTAGGTTAATTAGGTTAACTAGGCAGGTTAGGGTAATTAGGCAAGTTATTATATAACGATGGTTTGTTTTGTAGACTACTGAAAAAAAAAATTGCTTAAAGGGGCTAATAATTTTGTCCCAAAAACAGTTTTAAAAAAATTAAAAACTGCTTTTATTCTAGTTGAAATAAAACAAATAGGACTTTCTCCAGAGGAAAAAATATCATCAGACATACTGTGAAAATTTCCTTGCTCTGGGAAATATTAAAAAGAGAAAAAAAAATTAAAAGGGGGCTAATAATTCTTACTTCAAGTGTGTATGTGTGTGTGTGTGTGTATATATATATATATATATATATATATATATATATATATATAAATAAAATTTGTTTAGCCAAATTAACTGCTACAACGAGCACGCACAAAATGAGGGGTAAGGGGAAGGGCTAAGGGGTAGAATTGGAATTGAGCCTTAACCAAATTAATCTATTTAAGCCTTTAAATAGTCAATAATTCTGACTTCAACTTCTTCATATATATATATATATATATATATATATATATATATATATATATATATATATATATATATATATATATATATATGAGAGCTGTGTGGGGTGCACTTATTTATGCTGAGCACCATACTATACAATTTTGTACTTAACATTACAGGGCACCTAGGTTACCCCTTTTGCCATTTATTATGAATCATTTGTGTCTCCAGAATGTGTCTGTAAAGTTTCAGCTCAAAACATCCATCAGAGTTTTTATTATGCCTTTTATAAGATTTTTAAAAAAGTTTTATACATTTTTGCACTGGGTGGCGGTTTTGCTGTTCTGCGCCTTTAAGGCTAGTCCTCCCCGCCCACCATTTCTACGTGCCATTCTGCGTGCCTTAATCTCCTCCCTTGACTGCGTCAGACAACAAACAGACATAAAGGAAGCAGAACTTACGTAGCGTTTGTGGGAAATACTACAGTAAGAACTTTACTGTATTGATTATTTGATGCATTTGCTGTGTTAAGTTACAACGTCAATGTCATTACAGAGTTCACACGCACACACACTGACACAGTTACCCAGCACGGACACGATACGCACAAACATACAGACAGTGCGTTTAGCTTTGCATTCTTTTTGCACGCAAATGTGACAGGATACAGGCTAATCTCCACTGCTCTATGGGTATCTGTTATGTGAATGTACAAAATAAACCTGATTTATCGTCCACAAAGCGGGATTGAAGCGTCTTGTTTCATATTTGTTCTGACACGCGGCTGTGCTGATAAAGTAATTCTGAAGTAAATCGATCACATTTAATGACGATTTATGATCCTGGCGAACTGAACAGACCTTTTATTCCCGGTTGCATTGCACTCGTCTACTCTTGTTGATCTGATTATATTCGTGACTACCATGTTACGCAGCTGTCAATCAATTCGGTGGGTGTGGGGACTGCACTCCTACGTCAAGTCGGTCTGTCTGAAAACCGCTCCAATTGGTCCATCGTTTTTTGACCACCTATACACTATACCTACACATATTTCTATCCAAACAGCTTGAAAAGTAGATTTTTCACCATAGGTGCCCTTTAATGATTCTGTTGAGTGTATCAGTAATTAGAGATACAAAGCACTACATCTGCACATCTCTTTTACAAAACTTTCATTAGAAAAGAGCGCTATAAACTGAATTTAGTTAGAATAAAGGAGACAGAATGAACACAGCTGTGCATCTCAAGACCAGAACTGAAAAACCACTGTTCTAAAACACTGTTCGCTCGGCTATCAGTAATCCATTTCAACTCACTAGATTACCTGTCTCTTCTCCACTCTGCTCCACTTTTGTTGTGTTGGTCAAAAGGAGGCCTGCTTGTATGACTGGATACTGCTCCGTAAATCTTTCGACAATAGCTATGTTTCCATCCAAAGATGCAAATTAGAGAACAGAATCATTACTTCTTCTTGAACTGGCGGCAAGAATCAAAAGAGTAAAATGTAGTTTTGTGCACAGTGGGCCTTTTTTTCTTATATAATAAATTACCTGCACCTCAGAAGACCAAACGCAATGAACATGCCGTATCTTTTAGAGGTGAAAGATGCTCTTTGGGTGCGCAGATGCTCAAGACAGTTCTGGAGGTAATAACAGAATAATATAATAATAATGAACCACTGTGATGACACTTTTGCTTAGGAATGTTTGAATGAGCAAACCAAAATTTCAGATGTTTTACAATGTGCTCAAAATGCTGGTTTGTCCATTATTGTTGTTCATTACACCCCTTTTTATCATGACATGATCTGTTGAAACTAAATCAAATGGCTTTTTTAATGTGTATGCTGGAATTCATTTGATAAATGTGTTTCAATCATAGTTTATTAGTATTGGATTAAAGTTTATCCTACCAGGTATGTGTGACTACATTTTGAAAATGCGCATGCTCATCTTAGTGTTCCCATCAATTATTATGTATGCGATTAATCCAAAGGAAAAAAAGATATTAGGTGGATGGAAACATAGCTGATGACGAAGGGATTTCCAACATTCCTTCACATTCAAGACAACCGGGAGGCCTGAAACATATAATTCAGATTTAAATCAGTTTAAATCAAGTTTAATAACACTGAAATACTTAGACTTGGTTCATACTGCTTGCCATGAAACACGCTCTTCATGATGGATGATCTCTCAATCCTCAATCCTTGGAGAAGGTTTGAATGATATGTTACGGTTGTATCTAAAGGGTATTGAAATAATGTTTCATGAACAGCACCACTGTTTATACCAATATTTCAGTACTAAACAAAAGTACTAGAGGTCCCTTTTAAAAAGGATGATCAACCAGATTTGAGTTTAAACTTGAACTCTGAGTTGAGTTTCTGAACAGAGGTAATTCAGTCATCACTGATTAGGCTAACTTTCAGTTAACTTGCCACAACTAATGCCATAATGAGTATTACGTTTAATTAAACTCATTTTAATAGTATTACATGGGCAAAAAAACTATATAAATTAATCATTTAAGTGATTTTATTTCTTATTTTGCTAATTTTCCGCTAACAGGGTAAGAAAAAAATGGCATCAGCTCTTTACAATAGTGCAAATAGCATACTTAGCGATCAATTAAAATAAGTGCAAGCTCTGATTACTAAAGCTCAAGATATATTCTATATTCCATGTAAAAGTAGCAGATATTGGCAATAAGTATATAATAACTAGATGCTGTGTATGTTTATACTGGTAGACACATACAGTATTTGCATCTCAGTACAGTACATTAACAGGATATAATAACAGCAGAGAGCGTAAATGACTATATTTATTAGAATTATACTTTTCTCTTTATTAATCACTCATTAGGCAAATCCCCTTTTGCAACATTTACTTCATTTATATTGAAAATAAATTCTACTGGGATCTGAGACAGGAAAAGTGAGAAGAGCTAGACTCGAACACATCCAATTGTATTAAAGGTCAAGATCACCATGCTTACTTCTTAAACCACTGCAGTCTATAGTCATGTGCAATTAAACTTGACATTTGAGGGCAGGCATTACAAACATTCTCGTTTTTGAATGCATTAGAAATATTTTTATTGTCATGCCCCAATCACAATAAGACAATCTAATATCATTTTCTGATCAGGAAATTACACCTTCATTTAAGGATTTATAAATGTTTGGACTTGAAATACTATAAAGTATTTTAATTTATCATTTAATTATATTTCGCTTTAAGAAGTAGGAGGGCGAAACAACTTTGGGTTTACTAAAGAAAACGCCCTGGATCATGTTAGCTTCATAGAGTAAGTTACCATGGTAAAATCTCATGGTAAACCTACTCAGTTTGTTTTCACTTAACCTCCTCTCTGACTGTACTGCAGTAGTAAATCATTATAAAGTGGTTATTATGGTGCTGTTTGTCGAGTTTGACGGTTAAATGTAAAATAAGTAAAAGTTAAACTGAAAATACAGAAACATCTTAGGATTTTACCTCAGACCGCTTCAAGGAGTTCTGGCGTTTCACCAGAGCTTTTATTTATTTATTTGTTCAATGTAATCATGTTAAGTGCCACTTAATGTCACACAGCTGTAAATGTGTATTTATAGAGCCTACCTGTTGCTGTTCACTTCATTTTAAATAAACTTGAACTGTCATGCCATCATGCTCGCTGCGTTTGAGCAATTGAATGAATGCTACGTTTACCTGAAGTAATATATCCTAAAAAAGTAAATCATCAATGCTGTAAAATTTAATTGAAAACAGTCACTTTTACATTTTACGAAGCATATTAGTGGCTCGGCTTTGCAGAAATCCACTCGAGCAGTCCTCGGGGGTGGGCAAAAGCATATGTCCGTTGTGATTGGCTGGACCGCCTGTCAATCAAACGGCCAACGAAGGGTCAAACGCTGGTTTAACGTTCCCAGAGTCGCACCTCCGATCTTGATGCGTTGTTTAGTATCCTACACACCTTTTTCATGAAAAAAGTAGAGAAAATCTTGATTTGAGTTTGTCTGAAAAGCAAGATTGACACATCGTGTTTTAATTGCCGCAATGCATTGTGGGAAATGCATTCAATTAGCTTTTTGAAGAATTTTAAATGCTAATAACAAATATTTCAACCATAAAAACAACCCCATGTTGTAGTTAAACATCTGGTTCTTCTGTGTAGGCAGTAATTAGCGAAAGTTTAAAACATGTCACCGTCCACAAGAAGTAAGCCTCATATGCGTACTATAAAAAATGGCTGATGATCTGGCGGTTATTGGATGTGTGGGAGGAGCTTGGTGTGGCTCGGGCGGGGCTACCTCTCAAGTGAGATCCCAGATCATCCGTGTGCGCACACGGATGATCTGGCAGGCTCACAGCCCCGCGCTCCCAAACGATCCCCCGAAGCTCGTACGCCGCCATGGGAGATGGACGTGTTTCCCTGGCGTACGGGTGGAGGCTTTTACTCAATCTTTGCCCAAAACCTCACTAATTATTAATAACTTGCACTATGCACTTATTCTGATCCGCGAATCACCTCATCAATTTCACATCTGACACCAAATCACACCTTGGACCCATCACTTTATTCAGCTAAACAGTAAAATCACACTCATCACTTTCAGCAGCCTAACATGTCGTCCTGCAATGATGGCTGCTTATTAGCAATTATAAACTTGGAATTACAAACATACATTGTGTATAATAAAAGCAAACAGATCAACAAAAATTGCATTTCACAGGACCATTCACTCACCACGACCACTCTCTTGGCCGGCCGGCGGGCGCGAATAGTAATGACCTGTCCGGAACTACTTTATAACATGCCACCAGCCAATGAACAGAGAGGGGGGTCATTCAGAATAAAGGGCCATATAAGAAAAGAAAGTGGAAACATTTTTAAACCTGTTACCCCTAGCTGAGGCTGCTGGACTCACTCATTTTAGAGCTTTTATTACAACAAATCAAACTACTAACACACATTTATACCGAAACAAAACCCGTGGCTCTGTGAACCCGCATGTAGTATGGTTTTTCATGTAGTCATCCTGACGGCTCAGTGGCTCAGTAAAAGGAGCGCACTCGCGCCGTCGCTTTGCAGTCACGAGGCACAGGGTTCGAGTCCCGCTCAAAGCAGTTTCTTTCCGGCTTGAATTTGCACATTCACCTCTTCCTCACCTTCCTTCAGCCACACTCTAAACACACGCTGTAAAGCTTTCTTTGTGTGTAAATGAGAAGTATGCATGGTTTGAGAAGGGTATTCCTGCACAACTGGAGTGGCTGCACTCTCAGGACCGCATCTTTAGGACCCTAGTTTTTTGTGACAGCGTCACCTGTCGGATTGGATCATGGATGCGCTAATGGACGACACGGATGACAAGGAAAGTGTAAGTACCGATTTTTCTATTAAGTTTTATTTTAAACTGTTAAAGTATGTTTATTTTGTAATGCTGTTGTTTTATACTGTGAGTTTATGCAGAAATGCCAGATTAGCCTGCATGACTTACCCCACTTTTAAGGGTCTGGAACAAAAATGTTACGTGACGATTTTTTTCCAGAAGAAAAATAAAATAATATAATAATAAATATGGATAATTTTACAAAGCCAGAGTGAGAGCTGCTATAACTGTTAATAATTTTCTAGAGTTCGTTTTCTAGTTTGATTAAATGCTACGACGTTCGTAGCTCGTGACCATGGTTTAATAAAACATTGTTGATTTAATGGCTTGTTGACTTAACGGCTAATGTGCTTAGTGACATGCATTAAACTAAGATGGTAAAAGCACGTTTGATGTGAGAGTTTCAGATTTATCTATATTTTACTGAATTCGTGTTATTCGTTGTATTACAGTAGCACATTAAAAATTGTGCTGACCTCCTGTTTGCCCCACAATACTGTATGTGTTATTAGCCTGATGTTTTGTCATCGTTTTACAGTGATGAATGAGATTCTGAAAGTTAGGCTTATTCTGCAGGTCTTAACCATATAGAGTCTCATATCTTTAATTTATATCAGGTATGTTTTACCTGGCGAATAAGAAGTGATGGTCAATATGATTGGATTGCTTAGGCTCATTGTTGGAAGAAAAGAAAACAAACTACAGGAATATTTTCCTTGAGGTTATCTCAAACTGTTGAGTAACACTTTACAACATCTGCATACTATAAATAAATAAATATTAAGCATTTAATAACTAGTTAATTTATGAATATTTTATTTGTTTAGCATTAACTCTACATTTAATAGACATTGATAAGCAGTTTATAAATACAGTTACAAATGTTAGCTGTGTTCTTGAGTTTATAGCATATCTATGATGAAGTGCAGCTTATCTGTGGTGTTCATTTTCCAGAGGAATGTCTGGCCAAATAAGTATATAAACTGCATGCTGGGTGCTACTCATTTATTAATCCATGTAAAATGATTTGCTGTTCTGTGGTGGTATTTTAGTTCATATTTGAATGATTTTTTTTTTCTTAGGCCATCGTACATGCTCTGGGTGTCTTGAGGAGCTGGTCTTTGGATTATGCTGAGCAGGTCTTTCTTTCTGGTAAAGATTATCATTACAGGTCAGAATATGGTTAATTTTCGCACAATGCTCAAAGAGCCTTTTTGTTACTGGTATATATGTTAACTCAACAGTGATTGTTCTCTGTTTCAGTGAAGTAAAATAATTTAACAGACAGATTGACAAAAAACTGACGTAAGAAGAGAGACCATTCAATAGGTGGGTATTGCTCTTATATACTTAAAAATATGGAGTTGGGAGTAAAGTTTCCTGTTTGGTTCTCCCAACAGTCCATATGCTTAAGCCAAAAAAAAAAAAAAAAAAAAAAATATATATATATATATATATATATATATATATATATATATATATATATATATATATATATATATATTATAGCTAACACTGTAAAGCAAATGTTTGTTATTATACCTCTTATATTAAATATTAATTTAAATTTAATTTCATAACAATTGGTTAACCTTTTAAGTTCATATACATTATTTTACGTATTCAAGAATATATATATTCATTCATTTTCTTTTCGGCTTAGTCCCTTTATTTATCAGGGGTTGCCACAGCAGAATGAAGCGCCAACTTATGCAGCATATGTTTTACACAGCGGATGCCCTTCCAGCTGCAACCCAGTACTGGGAAACACCCATTTACACTCATAAACTTGAACATGGGGAGAACATGCAAACTCCACACAGAAATGACCACTGGCCCAGCCGGGGCTTGAACCAGCAACCTTCTTGCTGTGAGGCGACGGTGCTAACCACTGTGCTGCCCTATGTGCTCTATGTGGGTGAGTGGGATTGACAAACCACTTGGAGGGTTGCTGTCTTAATGCACCAGATATTTTGTTATAAATAATCATGTGCGTTTCATGTTTATTCATATAACTGCTATTTTATCTCTTAGCACTACATTTTTGTCTTTATGTAATATCTCTTGTTTAAATACACTATGAACAGCAGATGCGCTAATTATTTTCCTTGTTCCCTATTTCCACCTGGGGATATTCATCCAGAGGCCTCTAGAGATCGTGACCTGTGAAGAGATGATGCCACCATAGAGGACTTCTAAATGTATCCATAATCCTGAAACAGACCGTATCATGAGCAGATGCTGTGGTGGTCATGGAGAAGTGGAGAGCATGAGACTGATTAATGAAAGTCCCCCAGTGACAGATGAGTGCCCACATTGACCCTGTGGTCTAGCCTGAAAACCAGCTGGTGACCTACTCACACCTGCAGCTTCTCCAGGATGGAAACGCCCAGTGTTAGCCTCCAGCGCCTAGACTGCAGCTCTGCACGTGAAGTGTGGCCAGAAGAGAAATGGTTGTGCCCAACTGAGCCTAGTTTCTCTCAAGGTTTATTCTTTCACTTTCATCAATTGGTAAAGTTTTGTTCCTCCACTGTCGCCATTGGCTTGCTTGGTTTAGGACTTGTGGAACTCTGCATCGATGGATTTGCTTTTTTTTTAGTGTTTGGACTTTCAGCAGTGAATACTAAACCACACTAAACTGAACTGAATTTAATAAATATTAAGCTGCTTTGACACAATGTACATTGTAAAAGTGCTTTAGAAATAAAGATGAAATTAATTAATATTGAATTGAATATTCAACACGTTTCCATTTTTCTCAGAAAACATATTTATAAAGGTGCTGTTGACTTGAAATTTTCACCAGATGTTGATAACAATTTGTAAAGTAATTAGATTTGTTTTCTATTCATATATTTTTTTCTTTGGTTTTCAGGTCAATAGCACCTTTAGAAATATGTTTTCTGAGAAAAATGGGAACTTGTTGAATACTTATTTACCTATGTGTGTGTGTGTGTGTGTGTGTATATATATATATATATATATATATATATATATACATACATACATACATACATACTTGAACTTTCTTCTTCTCTCTCATTCACAGGAGCTAAAGTCTACAGCCAGTCTGAATGCAGCAACTGAATAAACAGTGGGGTCATTTTTGTGGTTGAATTGCATTAATAAAAAAAAGTGTGGATATTTATATAAATGTCCATTCTTGAATCATTCTTCCGTCTTGTCTCTCTAAAACCTTTACAACCTGGTTTTAAATTAGTAACTGCAAATGCTGATCCCATTTGATTTCAATTTATTTTCCCTAATACTGAGCTAATTAGTTCAATGTAATGGGGTTCATCAATATACAGTATTTTTCAAGGAATTTAAGACTTTTAAGGCACTCAACTCTATTTATTCATTTAAATTTTAGGTGTAAATTCATTTGTTTCATTTTAAAATTGTTACTTAAAGCAGGCGTTTTACACTTTAACCTCTGGAATAAAAGTGCCTGAAAGTTTCCGCTAAATAATCCAATTCGGTAGGTGGCGCAGTTACAAATTGGGTCCTAGAAATGCAGTTTCACTGTCATCCAATCCGGTGGGTGGCGCTTCCGCAAAACACTAGGGTCCTAAAAATGCGGTCCTAAACATGTGGTCCTGAGAGTGCAGCTACTCCAGTTGTGCAGGATCATACTATTGTGCATGGTTTTCCCAGTAAAGGGTTGTGGCAGCAAGAGCTGTAAAACAGAGTAATCGGCGGCTTATTCCATCGATAAAGCAGAGAATAAGGTAAGATAACTTTTTTATATTTTTTATATACCATTATATACAAGTTATAACTTTTTTATAACTTTTTTTTTGTATATACCAAAGATAACTGTTTGGTAAACCTGTCAGCTAAAATAAAGAAGGGAAAAAAGATTTTCTGTAATTTGTTAATTAAAATGAAAGAAAAGGCGATGAATTTGTGAAAGGAAATAAAAAACTCACTCACTCACTCTCCTTTAGATTCTCTGTTTTATCAGTGGAATGAACCGTCGATTACTCTTTTAGGCCTATATTTTTTTACTAGTGCAAGCTCTCCCTGCCACAACCCAGTGCTGGGTAAAACCATACTCTACTTCTCATTTACACACAAACACACACGCAGAGAGAGAGAGAGGGAGAGAGAGAGAGAGAGCAGGCAACGGACATATGCTTTTGCCCACCCTCGAGGACTACGGGTGACAGGATAAAAACACGGATGAAACTTATAGAAGGTATATTGAAACAGTAATTTTTTAGGTCTCACAAATTCAAGTGACATCAGTAAATCATCTTAAACTGTGACACATGCTGACTGTAATCTTATCATTTTATTTGTTTTTCTGTTTTCGTACAACTATTAGGTTTACGGTTTGTGTTTAAGCAGTGTTTGTTCTGCAGACTGTTTCTTCTTTATTTGAAATAGACATTTTGTCATTTTACAGCATAAATAGATACAGCACAGGCTGGTGTGATAGCCCTGCTTTTCCAATCACAAATATAAACATCTGTAATTGTTAGTAATTTTCTGGGGGAAACGCTCTAACGCTCCTCAGTTTGAACATCTTGACCACAATTACATGCCCAAATCCACTGAGTAGCTGATATTTAGAGGAATGAGCAGTTGAACAGACGAACCGAATAAACTGAGCAGTGAGTGTAAATCTTCTGTAACATCAGGAAAAATAAAAATACTGACCTTCAGCCTTTTTCCTGGCCTTTCTAAATGAATATCTGGTCCCATGTTATATACAGTGGCCTTAAATAATATGTACTTATTGTGTGAATACATGCTTTTACATTGTTCTTATAATCCATTAAATAAATGCATGTAGTTATTATATGATCAATTAATTTCTGTGGTTACATCTTTAATTACACTGTTGTCCATCCTTTACATCTTAACCTTAAATCTACACATAGCACCATCCCTAACCCTTCCTGAGTCCCACCTCAAGAGCACCAGAAGTGTTCTGCAATACATTATGAACACAGTAAGTGCATTGTATTTATTTTATGATGCAAGTACATATAGGCTAAAATCCCCTAATATAAAGAGGGAACGGATATTTTGTGCATTTTCATCAATTACAATGCGCAAACCAATCCTAGTACCAGGGAAAACACTACAGCATTTACATAATATTAATCCTGACCTCCTCTCTGGAAATCTTTATCACTTAATAAATAAGAACAAAGTACAATGATGACCACAGTGCTTTAATTATATGAAATGAGTGTGTTTGAGTCCATAGTGTGACGCAGAGCACATAAAAGCAGAATCAATTGAATAATAAGAATAAGATTAATCAGTCGGTATCAATCAAGACACAAACCCTCTTTTGTTATCATGTTGTTTTAATCTGTTGCTTTATTTTTATTTGTATATTATTACTTTAATTAAAATATTAATAAGGTTTTGCTCAAGACTTTACATAATTCAAGGGACATTTTTATATTTAAACTAAAATTGCATATTTCAATACCTAATATTAAATAAATTAATATTTAAGTTTTATTTCAAGCCAGCTAGTGGTGACAGTGGCGAGGAAAAAATACTTCACCAACTGATGAAGTGAAGAGAAACTTGTCTCTCTTGGGCACGACCATTATTCATGTCCATACGTTCTGTGTGAAGCTGCAGTCTATACACCAGGCGCTGGAGAAGCTGGACGTTCATCGTGGAGAAGCTGCAGGTGAGAGTAAGACACCGGCGGGAGGTTAGGCTGGTCCATAGGATCAATGCGGGGACTTGATTGTCACTGTGGTTTTTCAGGAAACAGTCTCATGCACTCCATTTCTCCATGATGACCACAGCATAAGCTCGGGATACGGCCTGGTCCAGGATTATGGATACCTTGGGATCATCTTCTCACAGGTCTTGGATCGCATCAATGGCACTGCAGAATCTCGGGAATGTGTATCCTCAGGTGGAAATAAAAAATAAAGAAAATGATTAGCTTTGCTGCTGTTTATAGTGTATTTAAACGAGATGCAAAAACGGAGTGTTATAAATGAAAATAACAGTTATATAAACAAACATAGAAACAAACATGTAAAGCATATGAGAGTTTCTAACACAATGTCTGGTGTATTAAGGAGGAGTGTGTCCTACAGGTGGTTGTCAAGCCAGCTCACCTGCGTGGAGCAAATTCATGCATCATACCGTCTTGTGATGAACTGAGTGTGTGCTTTGCTAAAAGAGAAGTCTTTAATCTAGTTTTGAATTGAGAGAGTGTGTCTGAGCCTCGGACATTATCAGGAAGGCTATTCCACAGTTTAGGAGCCATAAATGAGAAGGCTCGACCTCCTTTACTCGACTTTGCTATTCTAGGTACTACCACAAGCCCTGAGTTTTGAGATCTTAAATAGCGTGTTGGATTGTAGCGAGACAGAAGGTTGGTTAGATGAACAGGAGCAAGATTATTTAAAGCTTTACTGGTAAGAAGCTATATTTTATAATTAATAACTTCAATTAATTAACTTAACAGGCAGCCAGTGTAAGGAGAATAAAATTGGGGTGATATGATCATATTTTCTGGTCCTAATAAGAACCATGGGCGTAAACCCCGGGGGGGACGGGGGGGACATGTCTCCTCCCATCTGAGGGTTGCCCCCTACCCAACCCCCCAAAAAAAAAAAATTAATTATTAAAAATAAAAACTCTCAATTGTGAAAAATATATGTATATATAGCTATAATAATAGTTTAAGTAAAAAGAAAAACGCATTTATCATTTAAAATGCATTTAGAAACAGTTGAGTTCCCCCTCCCCTTCCTTAGATTGGTGCGGTCCACTCCGTGCTTTCACCAAAGAGCTTAGAATGACCAAGAGGTGACACTCTAGTGTAATTTGGGAAACAGCCGCTAGAGGGCGTGGCGGCCATTTTGGAATGAAAACTCCAATCGAAGAACAGCATATTAAAAGTCAGTTAAATAAACTATTAAAAGTGCTGATGATTGTGATCGTAAGTGTTGTATTGTCGTCTTTCAGGTTGTATCTCAGCTTTAATGCACTTTTTAAATAAATAAATAAAAAAAACAAAGCAGCTGCTTGCCATCGCGACAGTAATGAGATCCAATGGACGGCCGATCACTTTCACTCCAAAATGGCGGGATCCAGGGCTGTTGCTTGGCGCTGCTGTTGCAATGGAACGTTCTATTGAGTGTCGCCTCTTGGTCATTCTAAGCTCTTTGCTTTCAAAGAGGCTGTGTGGCTGCGGCTGAGTTACTGTTGTAAGCAGGCCCGGATTGGCTAATTGGGAGGACCGGGAGAATTCCCGGTGGGCCGGTCCGTTTTTTGGCCGCGAGGGCCGGTATCCCTAGCTCCAGAATCTGTTGCTCTCAGCAGCCACACTTTTTAAATGTATTTATTTACTTGACCACAGCCTTTTTATTCATTATTTTACCGCAGCTCTACTCTTTATCTATTTTCTCGCAGCTCAGAGAGCAAGATGCAGCCTGCAAGTTGATGATGATATAACTAAGATGAGTCACTACTCATTCACTAACTGTTGTGGTTCAGTGGATAGCACGTTAATTTAAGATGCCGCTGACCCGGGTTCGATCCCCATTTAAGTAATTTTTTTTTTTTCATTTTTATTGTTAAGACATATAATACTGTTAGGGTTGTTGAACATTTGAAGTTCTAAAACAGCTGTTTTCTCAAAAAAAAAAAAAAAGACGTGATAGTGTCATTAGAAACTGATTTGGAAATGACCTTATTTTAATATAGTCAGTGGTGAACTGAGGTGGGCCGGTCTGAGGCTTAAAACTCCAGGGCTGAAAAGGAGTCCCACTCCAGCCCTGGTTGTAAGTAGGGGGTTTTTAACCCACCTTAAAGCGATTCTCCTCAATGTAGTTAATACAGACTCTTTCATAAATTTGTTGCGGCCAAAAATGCTGATTAAGGATGTAATTGTCCATGAATCTGCTGTATTAGCAATTAAAATTACTTATCTAGTTAGCGTTAGCTTGTTGCTAACCCTGAAGCCGTTTCCCATGCATTGTTTCATCTGTGACGACTTGGCATAATGTTAACTTAACATTAACGACCACAATTAGCATATTATTAGTTGTGTATTTGCTAAATGAGCACTGCTACACTGTGCACACTAACCCCACTGTATTTTTTGTATAATCAGTTTCTATTCGGTTTTAAGTGACTCAGTTAATTTGAAATTTAAATGTTAACCTTTTTTAATTCTTTGTTTTTATTGTTGTGATTATTTTTATGATAGTTTTGCATTCTTTATGTAAAGCACAGTGCTACAGTATAAATAAACTTGCCTGGCAGTGTCATGTATTGGATAAAATGACAGAGAAAATGGACATAATTTTTCAGTGCAGCTAAACGCCAAGTACAAAAAGTTCACATGTTAAGCAATTTAGCTTTCAGAATGAGTGCTTATGAAAATACTAATGCCACAATATTAATGACAGGCAAAGGAGAAAGTAATGACTGAGGAACAGGCAGGGCAGGGTCAGTCAGATGTACAGTGTCAGGTAAGGGTGCTGTAGTTTATTAAAGGGATAATGACAATTCTTTTGGGGGGTGAACAATTTTTTTTATGTTTTCTGAGTTGTGGCTTTTTAGAAGATTTCAGAGGCTCACTGATTTACAATATGATTGGTTATTTTAACGTTTTAAAGTTAGTTATTATGAGTATAGAAAATGTCTTTTCCTGCATTTATTTTGCTTCTGGAGTCAGACTGTTGACACAACAAACAATGCAATAAATGGTTTTGAAGAAAAATTTGCTGTCACTGAACCTAAGAAAAACTTTGAGAATAATCATAATGATGAAGTCTCCATGCTATAATAATATTTATAATGAAACCATTTTTAACTGAGGGGACATATCTTTATAAGTAAAATTTGGCTGTATTATTTGTGTCCCCTTCAAAAAATGCTCGAAAGAAATGTTATATTTATTGTCCCCCCCTACTGTTAAATCAGATTTACGCCCATAATAAAAACTCTGGCAGCTTTATTTTGTACTAGCTGAAGTTTTTTAATAAAGGATGCTGGGCAGCCAACAAACAGATCATCACAGTAATCCAGCCTAGAAGTCATAAAAGCATAAACTAGCATACTTTGTAACTTAGCCATAGTTCTCAGATGAAAAAAGGTGGTTTTGGTGAGATGGGATTTATTATTTTCAAAAGTTAAATTGCTGTCTAATTTAACACCCAGATCGGTTACAGTAGAGCTAATGCTAACTTTGTATCCCTCTAATTCCAGGTCGAGTTGTGAGATCTACCGTGTAAAGGAATTAGGCCCAATAATTAATAATTCTGTTTTGTCTGAGTTTAAGAGAAGAAAATTGTTGGTCACCCAGTCTTTAACATCTTTAATACACTCAGTTAGCTTAGACAGTTCAGACGTCTCATCAGGTTTTGTTGAAATATATAATTGAGCAGAGGTGGAAAGAGTAATACAATCTTCTACTCAAGTAAAAGTACTATTACTTCCAAAACTTTTTACTTAAGTAAAAGTAAAGTTACATGTCAATAAACCTACTCAAGTAAAAGTAAAAATTAACTCATTAAAAATATACTCATGAGTAAAAAGTAACTATTTCTCAAAAGGGACAAGATGATATAAATCTTAAATTAGTTGTTTTTATTTGTATAAGTAACTTTAAAAATTAAAGACCAATATCAAAAATTATATAATTATTGAAAATATTTTACAGATTATCCTGTTTAACAACTTGTACAAATTCAAAAACTCTAATGCAACATCTGCTGTGTTTGCTAAATGTATATGCACACAGACTTAATTTTCAGCCAGGCAGCCCAAAGGCTTCTGGTGAACTGTCTTTCCATTTCAAAATTGTCACATTTAAGATCTTATTTCTTTAAAAATCAGTGATCTTCACTGCCTGTTAGATATATGATAAGAAATGGGTCTCAGATCGGACAAGAATGCCTTTAAAATATGACAGTTTGTTTTACCGCATAATTTGGTTGTTGCTAGATCGGATACAGTTGCGGCTGGAAGTTGACAAGAATTATTTATATTATTTATTAAATTTCACATTTCTGTATTTTAACGTCTACCCCTACTCCAACCTTAAACCCAACCGTCACAGTAACATAAGAACAGTAGTTGTACCGAGTATTATTTATGCTATCTATTAAATTACCCATTAACTTGTATTTTTTTAGCACCAATCCCCAACCCCAAACCCAACCGTCACAGTACTGTAAAAATATTCATTATTGTTATACAGTGTCATAAAAAATGTTGCTATATTGATGTGTATATAGCAAATCCAGTCGGTAACGTATCTAATCTACAGTAGACTTTACCCAGTATTTTCAATGGAATTTCTGCGCTAGCCTGTTGCTACTGATGACACTAGTGATTACACCATCTTTCATCTCGCTTGAACAACTAAATGAATGCTTAAGTCTATTTAAACGAGTGTATTGTATTTACATTACAACATTGATGCTGTAAAAACAACCATGTGAAATTGAAAATAGTCACATTAAGCTTTCACCGGAAGTTTATCGTTGGCTTTAAAACTCTAGCTGTGCATAAAGCCCATTGTGCATAAACAATTTTGCTCCAAGTCCCCATTAATATCTAATCTTTGTACTAACAAACATTAGCAATGTTACAAAAGCAGCAGGGCAAGTTACTTCCAAAATGTAACAATTTATATATTAAAAGTTGAAAATTTCTTTTTTTGTAATTATTTACATTACAATATTAATATCTCAGAAATGCTTAACACTACTTTTGTATTACTTTTAGATTACTTTAACCAAAAAGTGGTTTCACTTTTTCCACATTTTTATGTTTCAGCCTTATTCCATAATGGATTAAATTAATTTAATTATTCATTCATTCATTCATTCATTCATTCATTCATTCATTTTCTTTTCAGCTTGGTCCCTTTATTATTACGGGGTCGCCACAGCGGAATGAACCGCTAACTTATCCAGCTTGTT